CAAATATGTCCCCCCTTAGAGATCCAAAAGTCGCGGAGCAGAGTACAGGCTGTGGGGAGCCAGCTGACAAAAAGAGTCATTCATTCTTTTAGGTCATAAGCAGTTCCGGAGTGCAAGCCCGGGATGGCGGATCTGCTGACACCTGCTCTCCACAAGACGCGGCAAGAACACCTCGGCTGTGCGAGGGACACGCTGGGGTGCAGAGAACCAGCGGGTGGTGGGGCGGGAGTGGGGTCAGGGAGGAGGGCATCCACCGGAAGGGAGCTCTAGCCGTCAGCACACCTTGGGGAAAAGGGCCAGGGCCGGACAGGGCGCTGTGTGTTCGGACCACTAGGAGGCCGCGGTGCGTGGGAGGGAGGCCCCAGTGAGGACACCCAGGTCCAAAGGCTGGCGGGCGATGGTGGAAGGCTTCTTGGTGGGTCAAGGCAGGGGCTGGCACGGGCAGACGTTCATGTGGAAATCTCCCTCTGCGAACGGCTAGTGCACCAGTTCGGAGACGCCGCAGGACACCTCGAGAAGGCCCCCAGACCTGAGCAGAGCCTCCCAGGTAACCCAAACTGTAGCGTTTGGTCCCCTCATCTCTGAAGCCTCATAGTTAAGTGTCCTTTAGATGAGAAGCTAAATACTAGCTTCTAAGCTACTAAGCTTCTAAGCTAATACTAGCTAAATACTAGCTTCCCCACCCATGTCTACATTAGAGATAATCCAGTAAAAATGAATACGTTATTTTAAATCAAGAAATCAGCCTGAATTAGTATCAACCCAAAAGTATGGAAGGAAACTGTGGTTTTCTAGGGAATGTAAATCGGTGGAGAAGCAAGTAATTTTTACTTTTCACCCTATCTCCTTCTATACTGTAATTTGTTTAAATCCATTAGCATATATTACATTTTTAATATTGAAATAGTTAATTAAAGTGAGATATTTTTACTTATTTGAAGTACATGCATAGTTAACTGGGCCTCAATGGAGTAGCAAGTGACCCATTTTTAAGAACACTTTGCAAACAATGAGTTAATATCCTTAAAGATTTTTTTCCTAGAAACATAAAATAGCACTCTCTGTAACAGAGCAAAAGTGAGCTCTTGCCTATTCTAAAATGAACTATCAAATTCAAATTTAGCGGGATACAAATTTATAAATTTATAATAGAGAAAATGGATGATGTGTTGCTGGTTTTCTTCCACATTGACCTTTAATTTTGATTATGTGGACTCCAGCCTGAGCCCATACATTAATGCTTAAGTGCTCAGAGGAGGTATAATAAGTAGAGGCTGGGGAGAGGGGAGGTGAGACTAAAAAAAAGAAAAAGAAATATAACTATATCCCAAACATTTTAGCAACTCCACCATTCTGAGCTAAGGAAGTATTATTTCCCAATCCAAATTAATTTGATTCTAGGTGAGACTTAAAAAAACCCAAACACCTAAAAATCCAGTTCTAATCCTATTTCTGTTCAGCAATAATATTAGTGTGTTGAAGTTATTGTCTATCCAAATCATTAGTGCTTGTTTGTGCTTTTTAGTTTGATCTCTTATACAGTTGTATGAATTTTCTATATTACTTATATATCACTAGGCAGTAGCCCTGTAAGTATCAGGCCAGGTGATTGACATTCCCAGAGAAGTGGGGTGGTCTAGCGCTTTCCACAAACCTTAGAGCCAAGCTGCCTGAGCCCCATGCCAGGCTCTGCTAAGAACTCGCTATGTGAACTTGGGCAAGTAGCAGCTACCTGGGTCTCTGCACCTCAATTCTCCATCAATAGACAGGGGATGGGTGTTGTGAGAATTAAACAGCCTACTTTTTATAAAGTGCTTAAAACCTCCCCTGGCACACACAGTAAGCTTCCTGAAAGCATTAGCCATTTTACAGCCAAAGAAAATCCTTAACCAGGTTTAGAAACTCCTTGGTGCAGACTCAGCATGTGGCTCTAGTATTAAACTGCTGAATGCAACTAAGTAATTGCCTCTTGAACAAAAACTCAAAGATTGGTATGTCAGTATCGAAAACTTCTGGACAAGTCTTGAGGATGCTTAATTATATTTCTAGACTATTAAATTCAAAGTTTCTTAGAAATTCACAAGAGTATTCTAATGGGGGCTCCCAGGTTCTTTGATCAGAATAGCACAAAATTGGGTTAAAAAAAATTTACATGATCCTACTTAATTCCACTGGTGAAGTGCTGGTTAACTTCATTCTAAGTCAGGGCACTTTTTGCTAAAGCTTTGGTCAGAAAGGATATGGCTTAGAACTGTGTTTCTTGAGACAGAATCATCATAGGTGTGCTTCAAAATGATCTATTGTAACTTTTCGAGTGCTTATGTAACCTCTGACCCATTACTTCCAAAGGCTGAATGTTGAACCTCATAAAGCAGTCCATGGCCTGTTTAAAATGATTATATTATAAAGTTCTGTAACCTAAACTAAAATTCATTTCCCTATTTATTTGTTCTTTGGGATTTCACCAAATAAGTAGTCATTTGTATCCCTGACAGTACTTAGGATATTTAAGGTCAGTTAGAGTAGATTCTCCTAGGAGTCATGTGCTTGAGTCAGCTTGTAAGGTAAAACTTTCTTATAATTAAACTTACCTTGGAAATCTCTTAAGTTGCTCTCAATGTAAAATTCTAATAAAGCCAGTTTTCCCTCCAGGACTGTAATAAATTGCTGTTCTTTTGGCTAAGCTGCAGATGAACTGGTTGGTTGGCATTTAAGTCATGTTGTATGAAGAATACTTACCTTCATTCACTTAGCATGAATGCATACTGCTGAATTATCTATATTATGCAACACTATGAAATATTTAATGTTTTCCATTGAAAGACCCACTTATTGCATACCAAAGCATGCCAGGCACTGTGCAAGTAGGGTGGGGCATTTGTCACACATTCCACAGCAACACACAAACATGAAAAAAAACAGGCAATTTATTAACAGAATGGGAAATCCTCTTCCTGAGATGAAACTGACCTTTAAGGAGAAGATTAAGGAGAAAAAAGTATGGCGACATGAAAGTGCTGTTCTTCAGGGGAAAAAAGTGGTAGTGATATGAACCCAACTGTTGTATCTTGAGAAACATGTTCACGTAGAGTCCTGTTCCAGACCTGTAATAAGTGATTTATGAAGATTTGACTCATCATTGAAGGAACAGTGGTTTGCAGCAAATCCTCAGAATACTTAATTTTGGGATTAACTGTACAAGAAAGTCCAAGTAATGCTATTTACTTAGTAAAATTAATTTTTCCCTAGGAAAAATTTCAACAATATCTTTAAACTGCTCAATGAATCCTTTTTTTTTTTTTTTTTGAGACAGAGTCTCACTTTGTTGCTCTGGCTAGAGTGAGTGCCGTGGTGTCAGCCTAGCTCACAGCAACCTCAAACTCCTGGGCTCAAGCAATCCTTCTGCCTCAGCCTCCCGAGAAGCTGGGACTATAGGCATCCGCCACCATGCCCGGCTAATTTTTTTCTATATATTTTTAGTTGTCCAGATCATTTCTTTCTATTTTTTGGTAGAGACAGGGTCTCACTCTTGCTCAGGCTGGTCTCGAACTCCTGACCTTGAGCGAGCCACCAGCCGAGGCCTCCCGGAGTGCTAGGATTACAGACATGAGCCACCGCGCCTGGCCAATGAATCCTTTTAAGACATGTACTTCTAAGGAAAAAAGTCATTCTAGAAAAATAAACTACTTGTCTTATTCTTCAGTTATACTAAAAAATATTTTATGGGTTGTCATAAAACAACAAAAACCCCAGTAGCAATCATAGTGGGATCTCCCTGAGAGAGAGAAATAGCATAGACAATTACACCAAGGATTCCCACATCCCTTTGTCATCTGTTAATGATATAGTTGGATTTTGTTAAAAATATAGATCACAGGCAGCTCTGATAGAGAAATGAGTTCATTAATGCCCAATGCTTGATGGAGACTGAAGAAAATGGAAAAAGGCACTTCCACACCTGCTTTGAGGTTGGGTCTGTGTAGGGAGGGTTTACGGATGGTGAATGCTCGACTCCTATAGTTTTTCTGAAAGGCAGTGGTGGAGGTATCTTCTCTCCAAGTTGATTCTTCCATCACTGGTGCCAAATTACAGGCAGTTTTGCTAAAATATTTGCTATTCAAAGTGCAGAAAAGACAATGTTGTGTTAAAGACTGACTTTTAAGATCTTACTAACTCCATGAGCCTAAACAGCCACCAGCCTTCATTTCCGTATCTGTAAATTAGGGAGAATGGAAACGGGTCAAATAAACGGAAACTTCAAAAAGCATTCTGTGAACTGCAAAACACTTACATGTAAAAAGTCTAAAGGACTACAGAAATTTAGACAATTCAGAGAAAAATTCTATCGTGAACCTTTTATTGTGACAAAACAAATTTTACAAAGACTTTATTTACATTCTCAAACTCCCAAACTTTCACTTATTTAAAACATGAGACAATGCAGCCTGGACTCCAAGATTTCAGGCATGAATAAAATAGTACCAGATTTTCAAGTTATATAAACTAGCTGCATTTTATATACCACGAAAGTGAAGAGAATTGTGACAAACACTAGCTTCAAGTGTACCTATAGGAAACACATGGACATACTTGGGTTTTTTAACCACACAGTCTCATATCAATAAACATTGAAGTATTTTACATATATATTCCATCAATGGTAGGCACAACTCTATGAATATCAGTTACACAAAACATTTGCTTTTTATAATCTATTTGGAAATTGAAAAATAAGAGGAATGTACAGTTAAGTAGCTGAAAATGCTACATTTACTGCACATGACAAGGAATGCTAGAATTAATTTCCAAGAATGATTTTCAAAAATTTAAAATATTTTATCAGAAAAGTTAGAGCCTTTAGTGTGAAAAGCAAGGTAAATGATGTATGACTCAATCTCTAAAGATCTAGCAAATTCTAGATTTTGTGCAATTAGTTATTAACATACACATTTAAGAGATTAATACTGGCTGTGGTTCAATAGTATCTTTTGATGGTTATGAAGTGTCTAGTTTTTAAAGTTACTTCAGCTTTACATGTCTACGAAAATTATAATTCCTCAATGGGAAGTTATAGCTTATTCTGTACGAGATAAAGGTAACATGTATAGATTCAGAACAAATGACTAATTTTCACCTTCAAAGAATCTCTTTTACAGAAAATTAGATTGGTTTTTCACCCACATGTATGGATAAAAGTGCTTTTCAAATGTACATTGTCCATTTCCATAATCCTAAAACAAAAGGCACACAAATGGATGATAGTTTATATATTTTTTATGTGAATATTTTTCATCCATCTTTAAACAAATTCAATTGTCAAGTAGAGAGAGAAGTGACAAACTTGTGACAAATTTCTACGACTTGGAAAATTAAAGATCTAAGAGCTGTAAATGCTGCAGCTCTATGCAATTTGTCCATGGGTTCATTCACCCTTCAGAGGCTGTTCACTCACTCTGTCATCCTGTAGGCTATCAGTACTTAGGGTTCAGCAACTATGAGACCCAAAAGTCTAAGGAAGAAGGAACTGTTCAAATTCCTTCAAATTCCTCCCACAAAAGTTGTTTCTAATCTTGTTACAAACATTTAATATGCTTATGAGTTAGATTTTAAAGTGATGATAAAGCCATTTACTCTAACATAAATGAATGAAATGTAATTAAGAACCATATTTAAACAAGTCCTTAATTTTAATGAATAGTATACAAAGGAATTCAATAGCCAACAGCATTTATATACACAAATTGTCCCATCTCTTCTCTTCTCCCTTTCATAAAGTGCATTTTTAACTGGGTAGATTTACTATACAGCTTTTCAGTAACTACACCATAGGCATCTAATAGATTCAAGGAAATGTTGGAAAATTAAAAAGATTTAGCATTTTAAGCATTTGCAAAACATTACTGCAAAGCCAAGACTATGAATGTATTAGTAAAATTAAAAGTGTATCTCAGGTTGAGAATCATTAAGTTGGTTTAATAATTATTTCACAGAAGCATGGGCTCACTAATATTTATGCCAATTTTTGCTAATTATCTAAACCAGAAACATTTTCTGTAGGTAATTCAATTTTAAGCACCATTAAATAGGGTTATGCCAGAGAGAACCAATGGTTAGATGATCCCCAGAATGAAAACTCCAGCAAATTTAAAGTTTTAGAATAGCAACCAAGCCAGTGAGAATCAGAATGAGACAATCTTTTATTTCAATGTACCATAGGCTAACAGTGCTTTTTCTTTAAATAAAAACTTGTGTAGTAATTAATAATGTACCTTAACACTGGTGTAACTTAACAGCAGTATTAGAGATAATTAAGTGGAAACCATACTACAGATTAACTCAAAAGTGCATGTTGCCCATTTCTTTAGTTCTGTTATTAAAACTGAAATTGGTTTTCAAAAAACTGCTACTTACAATACAAACAGGATACCAACAGGATTCTCATTTTATTCACATTATTCTCTAATTAGTATTTTTGCATTTCAACTCTAACCTTCAGTAGTACCTTAAAAAGCAAATGCAATTATTTAAAAAAAAGGGGCAGTGTGTAGTTTTCCAACTTACAAATAGTACCAGTTTCATTACAATTTGCATTTTTTGTTGCTCTTGTTAAGAGTAACCACTTACAAAAATAGATACATAAAAGTGCAATATTCCTTATTTTCATGGCATCCAGTAATAGTTAAAGCAAGGGAACCCATAGTCATCAATTCTGTGCCCCCCAATTTAGATACATTTCAGTCTTCAGAAACAGGACTCAAGGACAGAGGTGAAGTGTGAAAAAGAGATACAGATCAAGGTAATATGAATCACTAAAAAAAATATCCACTTCCCCCTGAAAAGAACTCCTTCCCATCCATTCCAACCCCTCAAGTGAGAATGCACAATTTAGCCTCCGTCTTTTCTGGTCTCATTTCCTTATCGACACCTAGTATTCTGTTTCTGAAAACAAATAAACCTTAGCATTTTCTAAAAGAAAATATTTTTACCCAAATACATTGGACTTTGGTCTCAATTTGAAGGAGGAGGACGAGTGACCTTTAAGAGACCGTTCCTCCTCCTCCTCCTCCCCCTCCTCCAGTGGCTGGTCTGGGTCCCTGAAAGAGGGTGTGGTGTGGATGATCTGGGTTCGGAAGCGGATTTTGTTGAGTCTGGGTTTTATACGCCCACTAGAGCTGCCAGAGGCTTTACGACCAAGATCCTTTGCTTTGCCTCCAGCCCATCCCTCAGCCAAGTGGTGATGGTGATGATGGTGGTGATGCTCGCCCCCATCCTCCAGGACGTGCGAGAGTTTGTAGGTGATGAGATGCGAGGGGAGCACTTTTGAAAGCCTCCAGCGCCCACCCCCGCTGCCAGCAGCGCTTTCGCTGTCCTCCTCGTCCAGGGCTCCCACCAGGTTCTTTATCTCCTCCGCGATGCTCTGACTCAGGTACTGGGAGGCCTTTTTCCCACTGTAGTCCCTGATGTCCACATCGGCGTCGTAGGCCCCCACCAGCAGCTTCACCACCTCCACGTGTCCGTGCATGGCTGCCAGGTGCAGGGCGGTGTAGCCCCCGCTCGTCCTGGCGTTGATATTCACTGGCAACTGGTGTTTGTTGGCGAAGTTCACCAGCATGGCCAGAAGCTCCTGTCTCCCGTGCTTGGCGGCCCAGTGCAGGCAGGTGAAACCGGTGATGAAGTCCCGCTTGGCCAGCAGGCCGGGCTCACAGGTGAGCAACCCTTCTAGGCTGTCCCACTTGCCGTCGGAGGCCGAGAGCATCCAGGCGTGCTCCAGAGGGTCCAGTGTCACCGAGCCCCCGCCAGTGCTCTCTTCCTCCGCAGACGAAGAAGCCACTGAGGCGCTGTCCGAGTCGCCCCCGCCTCGGCTGCGTCCTCCCGCGGAGGAGCTCCCGGGGCTGCTGCTCCCAGGACACAAGCTCCTCTTAAGCTGCGGGGAGCTGCCCATCACCAGGTCCCGGAAGTTCTGGCGGGCGGACCTCGGCGTGCCGGCCGCCCCAGGGGAGCTGCCCTCGTCAGCCTCCTCGCCGCCGTGGGGCGAGGGATCCAGGTCCTCGCTGGACCCGGGGGCCGGCGGCCGGGGCAGGGGCGGCACGTCGCGCCGCGAATTCTTCCTGCGGGCCCCGCCGCTGAGGGGCGCGCCGAACGCGGGGGCCGGGGGCTCCCCATCGCCCGGCCCGGGGGGCGCCTCGGGAGCCGCTGCTTCAGGGAGCGGACTGCGATCTGGCGCAGGCGGGCCGTCGGGGGCCTCCGGCTCGGCGGTCACCTCAATGCGGGGCGGGTGCCCGGGAGGCGCGGCCTCGGGCGGCAGAGGCCCCGCGCAGAACCGCTTCTTGAGGTGCACGTACTTGGAGCCGTCGGCGGGGTCGGTGCGCACCGTGGCCACGGCGTTGACCAGCTCCTTGAAGCGGGCCCGGGCGCTGGCGCGCTGCTCGGGCTCGCCGCCCAGGGCGCCCCTGAAGTGTTGCACCAGCTCGGCATGGAGGGCCCGGCCCCCGCGCTCCGCGAGGAAGCGCAATACCGCCTCAGGGCCCAGCTCCGCCTCGGGGCCCCGCTCCGCCGGCCCCTCCATCCCCGACCCCGCAGCTCCTTAGCTGGCGGGCGGCTCAGCCCGGCGCCATCGTGGCGCGCTCCGAGAACCAGGCTCCCGACGGCGACAGAGTCGAGCGGGCTCTGCGGGTTCCCCGCCTCGGCGGCGTCTGCGGCCAGAGGACCCAGCCACCGCCTCTCGCGGGCAGCGCCCGCGTGGGCACGCCCCCGTCGGCCCCGCCCCCTCCGCTCCGCCCCGGCCCCGCCTATATCCGGTCCACAGTAAAAGCTGCTCTCGTTCCCGCCCGGCGGCGGCGGCCCCGCCCACTTCCGGTAGCCGCCCGGGGGCACACAATCATTGCTCCCACTGGTCACGGGAGACCGGCTGAGGAGTCTCGGCCTGAATCCTCGCGTCTTTTTCTCAAGTACCAGCTCTTCCACAGTCCCGGTTTCCCGCACTGACTCCGTCCTCTTACACGTCGAGGGGCACTCCTGGGAGGGGCTCGCTCCACGCGCTAGCCGCTTGGCGCGGTCACGGCCGCCGGCTCGGCCCCGCCCCTGCCTCGTCGCCGCCGTTGAGGCTACCTCGCCCGTCACTGGGCTGGGGCCGCGCCCTGCTCCTCGCGCCCAGCCCGTTACGCCCCGCCCCGCCCGCCTTCCCGCCTGCCGCCGCCCGGACTAGCCGCTCGGGGTCCTGGGCCGAGACCGCCGCTCCGCCGCCCTCCCGCCGGCGACCATGGCCTCCTCCGAGGTGGCGCGGCAGCTGGTGAGTCCCGCCGACTCCCGCACCCCTCCGCCAGGGCCGACGCCGGGCCCCCGCCCCGCGCTTCCCGTGTCCCCGCGGACCTTCCTCAGCACCCCTGGCCCGCCCGGCCTCGCCTGGTCCGGCCAGGATTGTGACCTGTGCCCTCCTCGGACTGTCGCGGCGGCCGCGCGGCTCCGGGCTTGAAGAGTGAGGGGTGCGGGCGGACCCCACTCGCCGAGACACAGTGCTGGGCGGCCGGGCGGTGGGGGCCGTTCTCTTTGGTTGGCTTCCCGGTTTTTGCCAAAAGTTAAACGTAAAACAGTGATTGAAGGTCTATCACTTTTATAACGGTTTTTGAGCGCGCAGTGCAGATTAATACAATAGTAGTAATCTTATACAGTTATGTAGACTTCTGTGACAGTCTACTCACTGGATAAAGCCCAACTTCCGTGGCCTTTCAAAAGCTTTTCCCGTTTTACCCAACTGTGCGGTTGTCCAAGTTGTCCTCCACTGGGATTTGAACCGGGTTTTTTTTTCCCGCCTTAGCACCCTTGTATTCTAAACACATTTCTCCAGTGTTTTGTACCTTTCGAATCACTTTTGTATATATACCTCGTTTGATGGTAAGCCAGTGGTTCTCAGTGTGGTCACAATTATTTTCATAATAATACCGAGGCGTTATTTGCTTTTGCCACTCTCATTGTCTTTACGAGTGTACACGAATTTTCCAGAGGGAGCAGTTTTTCATGATGTGGAATGACCTCACTGTTCTGAGGGTTAATGGAATGTTTTTGTGTATTCTTTAAAAATTTTCTCCCTTTTAATTTTTGATACTATAAATATCAAAGGTTGTAATCTATATATATAAACAAAAGCTCTTCGGAAACTTGAGATCAAAAAGTTTGAGAACTACTGGTCTAAGTAATCTCGTACATGAGAAGTTTAAATTGTAGAAACAGTTCATCTTGTAGGCTGAGAGATTAGGGGATCTGTCCAAAGTGACACAGTTCATTTGTTTTATATAGAGCCTGGACAAGGATTTTTCTCCCTGATTCAGCCCAGGTCTCTTTCTGTTCTATTAAGTATCTAGGGAAGTCTCAATTTTTCTATCTGGACTGCCTTGGTACAGTTGCTGGGTTTGTGTGGGTGAGGGAAATATTGGGGGGTACTGATGAAGAAGGTGTGTTTCATAAACTCTTTAATTCACAGAATAATCTTTAGTATCAAATCAAACTCGAGCAGAAGAGAGCATTTCATTTAGCTGATGTTGGATTTCTTGTCAATTGCCTGTACTTAATTTACTTTGAGGCTACCTTTGTTTTCTAATTAAATTTCTTATTTTGAGATAATTGTAGATGCACCTGCAGTTGTAAGAAATAATACAATATAGTGAGAACTCCCGAACCCTTTACCCAGTTTCTTTTTACCCAGTTTTCCTCAGTATGTTTCAAAGCAGTAGGGCAATACCATAACCAAGATACTGACATTGGTACAACTACAGGGAAGATAGAGGACCTTCCCATCACAGGGAGGGTCCCTCATGTTGCCCTTTTATAACCACACCCACTTCATTCCCACCTCACCTCTTCCTTAACTCCTGACAATCAATAATTTGTTTTTTAGTTCTGTAATTTTGTCATTTCAAGATTATTATGTAATGGACTCTCCAAGTAGGTAACCTTTGGGGATTGGATATTTTCATTCAGCAAAGTTCTCTGGAGATTCAGCCATGTTGTTGTGTATCAGTGCTTGGCTGAGTGGTTTTCTGTGGTATAGATGTACCATAGTTTGTTTAAGGGACATATAGGTGGTTCTCAGTTTTTGTGAATTAAGCTGCTATAAACATTCATGTACAGTAACTCATAATGTAACATAATGTAAACCTAAGTCTTCAGTTCTCTGGGATAAATAGCCCAAGAAAAACAACAGCTGGGTCATATGGTAGTTGCATGTTGAATTTTATAAGAAACTGCCAAGAACTCTTTCCCAGAGTGGCTATAGCATTTTCCATCCCCACCAGCAATGTATGAGATCCAGTTTTTCCACATCCTCACCAGCATTTGGTGTTGTCCCTGTTTTTAATGTAACCATTTTGATAAGTGTGTAGTGATA